AAACGCTCACATTATACAGTATTTTATAATGATCCAAACAAAGAAACAGTAAGAAGAAGTCAATCTTTTATGTACAAACACTATTGATGATCGGATCTACTCTTGGCCAGTCAACGAACCAACCAATCCCACTAACGAATAATATTCCTGTTAAGCTTCTTTGCATATTTGAAACGAAACTGAATGAATAGCAATGAAAAACAACTCGAAACTGCCCGGGATGTGTTAGTTAGTGATCATCTTGGTTGTTAGAAGCTTCAATCTTAGAAAGCCATTAGAAATTTCCACAAAGCAACCAAATAAACAACTGCAACAACACTAAACAGCATTCTATCTAACGTTAATAAATACATACTTTTGTATATAAAGAGACTTTGACAGAGAGAGAAACGTTCCAACTTTGGATGGGTTCTCGTCATTGGTATGTATGTATGTATGTATGCAGTCAAGTCGACCATTAGAAAAAGAAATAGCAGTAGACACAAGTATACAAACTATTATAAGTCGATTGAAAACGAACCTCACATCCTTACACACAATTCACCGACTTGATCCTATCGAAATTAATTTACATCCTTCGTGCCTAAATCGATTATCCCAAGTATGTAATCAACTGACCAATGCCTAAATGAACCGAGCCAAGGAATATATATATACATATTAAAATCGTTATAAAGATTAACCCGTTTCGAAATCTTACGTCAAGATTATGCGGTTTTTTCCTCCATAGCTTAACAACTTAATACATCTTCACGCGTGTAGCGTCTACTGGTTTAAAAACAAGTCTCTAATTTAGAATTTTTTATACTTCTTATCTACGTTATGTATGTTATGTAACTTTTACTGTAAATGTTAGTTAGAAAATGATAGTTAGAGAAATATACAAAAAAAAAGTGAAAGAATGCTGTAGAAAAGAGAAGCACAGTGGTAGCAAAGGTGTAAATTTTTAAACAAATAAATAAATAAATAAATAAATAAAAAAAAAAACTACGAGATTTCTATTTCTAAATTCAAAAAATTTCTCGCGTTTAAATCCTCTTGTATTTAATTAATGAGTCATCTTTGTAGCCCTTGTTTTAAGCGAGCTTCAAACAAAATTCCGACCAGAGAGAGAGAGTAGTCGCGTAGCACTTTCATCGAGAAAGTATTTTTATACATGAAATTTATTCTTGTACGAGGCCATTTAACAAACTTGGCACTGCCTTTCATCTAGCTGAACGCTTATGTCAAATATCTGCACACTATTCTGAATATAAGAGATTTTTTGCTTTGCACCTACGCCAACAGTCGGTCAATTTTTTACATCATGTTTTAGATATCGCATGTATTTACCAAAATTTCATATCGGAAATCCGTTCATCGATCCGATGCATCAAACTAGTTTGTATCAATTTTTGGGTAATCAATCCGACGACTTCTTATGTTCCATGAATGATTTGCGGAGGGCCAAAATTGACATAATTTAAACGCTACCATCTTTACGTATCTTTCACATCATCAGTGAGTATTCTATCAAAACACGTCAAAATAAAAATTCGCGTTCACTGATGTAAATACATTTGGTTCGCCTATACACGTTAGCACGCTCTCGTCTAGAGAAAGCAGGCAAGCAGGCTAACAGGCTAATAAGTTTCAAGCTATCAAGCTTACGATCGAAAGTGAAAAGTCTTCATCGAACAAAATGAAAGTAGGGTGAATGAAAGAACGGAATTTTCCAAAATATATGAAACAACCCTTCTCTCCTTAGTGTTTCTCTTCGATATTCCCTGCCGATGATAGGTCGGTCAATGGCTTGAAACAATTGATCAGCTATGAAATGCTCATATCGTCAACTCTCAATCGGAATTCTATCAAGCTCTGATTGATCGGCATTAGTAGCCGAGTAGGTAACAGTCGCTCGTTGAAATCTCGACTCGATACCAATTGTTTTACTTAATTGGTTATGTAATATAATAAAAATTATAATAATAAAAAAAACCCACGATCAATATCTGTCATGACCGAACTAACAGCGTATAAGACATCCATCCATCCTGAGGTAAAAATTTTCTCCAATAAATTTGTCGAACGACCTTCGACACGCACTTGCATATAAAATATCGCCTCATTTCAGCTTCCAACTAATAGATTACGCTGCCTATATTTGATCAGTGCAAACGTGTTTAGAACATTGTTACGCATCTCAAAATTTCATTCCACTGCTTTTAAAATTTGTAAAGATCTCATTGTATAGAGTTTCATCAGAGATATTTTTGTTCTCTCCTTACTATTCGGCCAGGAAAAGTTAGTCCCTTATATAGTCCAGTACGGCGAGCCTGTATGGATGACAGACTACTTATACCTTCAGCGCCTTGTTTTGGTCAATTCGCCTCCAAGAACCTGATGAATGAATTTGATATTCTTGAACCAGGAATATATTTCCCGCAACTAGAAATATTTTTTACATCAATTTGCTTATGCAATTTTTTCTCACTTCTCACTTAATCGTAAACGGAGGTCTTTAGCGCAAGATCAATTTTTAAGTAAAGCTTATGTCCGCCGACCGAGGAGAGATTAGTTCTAGATATCCTCTACTCCTATTTCGTAACGAAGATATTATTGCCTCGCCAATCCAAGAGAACAAATCATTAATTTATAGGTTCGCAGCTAGAGAACTCCGTTAAGAATTTGAAAAAATAATGATTTTTATGTAATTGATGTATTTAACCAAATAAGAAGAATGCGTTGTATTAAGAAGTAAAGTTTAAATTGATATATCGAAAATCTCTCAATTGCTTCCCTAGCCTATGTTTGTCTAAAGATATTGCAAAAAATTCGTATAAAAAGAATACAATTAATTGTAGTAAAGTTTTTCTTTTTTTACCATTAGTCTACAATCCCTCAGGATCACAAAAACCCCTTTCTTGTTAGAGTTTATTTCCTCTTTCTCTTTCCTCGAAAAGTTTGTAGCGACGCTTCAGCCGAAAAGACAGAAGCAACGATAAGAGAATATATAATTTTATACTTTTTTAGCAAAGGGATTGACTCCATTCAAATCGATCGGTCTCAAATTCATACCCAGTCATCGACGATCGTCGTGATAAAGTCACACTAATGTATTTTTGCTTACAAATGCTTCTCAATGAACGTAGATGTCTGAAGACTCTCTCTTAGCGAATTCGAGAACTTAGAAATAGGCAAGTAGATGAGGCTAAGTTAGCACTTCCCTAGCAGAAATTCATATGACACATAGTCAATCTTTCCGCAGGAGCACTGGGGGAACACTTGCAAATTTTTGAGCGAAACATTTCTTTCTAGCGTCTATTAAGCTACATAATAAAAAATGGAAATTTTTTTTTTTGGAAAAATTCACAATCGTTTCCTCCTTCTCTTACTTAAATGTTATCCTTTATCCTACGTTATCAACGAAAATATTTGTTTTAATTCGCGTTTCAAACATAGCAAGCAGTTTAAATGCCTTTAAGAGAATCGTTGAGCTCATGTTCTATTTACCAAATTTATTGGCAATATATTAAATCCTAATAAGTAAACAGGTCCTAGGCTTAACCTAGATTTTGTCAACTTTATACGGCAAGTACTTTCGGTTTAATTGTCACTTAGCCATGCAGTTTTTTTTTTTTTTTTTTTTTTTTTTTGGCAAATATTAGCGAAAGAAAAACTCCTGCATGCTCTTCATTCGACTGCCCATTGAACATTATCCCGTAGAATTTAAGATCGCTGCCTAAAAATTCTCAATAAATTGCTTAACTTGGATTGCACTCATCAGACTGGACGTTAAATAATCGCATAAATATACTTGAGAATATACATACTTGCGTTTGACTCATTTATGTACTCGTTTGGTTACAAGACATTCAAATCATCTTCACTTTCGTTTTGTAGTAAACTCATTTAAGTTATTATTCTTAAAAACACGTCGAAATAATTAATCGCATTTTAAGTTTATCGGGGAAGCGGAGAGGAATAAAAACAAGAACTAGAAGATGATAGTTTGCAATACCACTTCTGGTTTCCAGCATAAATTAGCATAAAAAGATATTTTAGAATTTCTAATTTAAAAACTCTAAGATCATATCAAAAATATTGATCAAGTTTATGCGTGGCGATAAAACAAACAAACCAGTTTCTTAACGCATAAATCAAATATTAGCGCGTGCACGCATTTAAGATAAGCAACGAACAAAAATAAGAATAAAAAAAAAAAAATAGTAATAATATACGAAACCACTCATATCTATGCATGTTGCATTTATCAGTAATATGCAAAAATTGTCAATTACTAAATAAACATGATTGTAAAGTAAATTACAAAAAACAAACGACAGTTGAACAAACTGAACAAGTGTGCTCAAATCTTTTGTTACCTTACACTTGGACGCCAAAATTTATCAAATATTTATTAACTGGAATTTATTCAAAATTATCGCTAAAGCGTAAAGAACATGAATGAAGGACTAAGCAATTGCTTCTAGGTCAACTTATCCAAATCATCTTATCCAAGTCGTTCATGTTATATTTCACGCACGATCGCAAAAATTTGAAATATGATATAACCTACGAATGTTTCGAAATGAAAAAAAAATTTCATTTACCAAGAGAACAAATGATTTTAATCTTTAACGTATCTAACAAATCGATCAACAGCCGACTTAAACGGGCTTATAATGAGCTAAAAGCTAATCATATGTTCCCGCCGCTTATATAATATATATATATATATATGTATATATATATAAGTAAGTTAACAGTGTTAGCCTATATGCCGTAATTACACAGAGAATAAGTAAAAGTGTCGAAAGAAAAGCTAGAAATTTTCATACATTTCCATCATCAATTAACTGACAATAACGAATCTTAAATTAAGAAGTCCGTACGAACGACGATCATCTATGTTGTGTTTTAGTTTTGAAAGTTTTCGCGTCAGAAAAAAAAAAAAAGAAAGAAAAAAAATAGTAATAAATTATCTTTGCTTGTGCTTTCTTGTTTTATCTCTATTTAAGAAGTGTTTCTGAACATGGCTGTTATCCTTTTAATGGCTATTGCCGTCCTGTTAGCCTTCTGTTGCAATTTTAACTTAAGGAACTTTAACCGAAACTATATTAAACCATTGATGAATGAAACCGAAAAATTAACTAAATATTGCAATGAGTCGGAAGATCCGCTGAACCTTGAAATGGATTGTTATCACGCTCGAAAAATAAGACTGAAATGCGTTTGGGATATACCTGGACCGAAACGGTTGCCATTTCTTGGTACAAAATGGATATTTATGATATATTTTTGGAAATACAAGCTCTCAAAATTGCACGACGTTTACAAAGGTAAAATGGGTCACAAGAATTGAGCTAAATAGATGAAAAAAATCATAAGTGTAGCTGTCTTTCTCTTAGATTTAAATCGTATATATGGTGATATCGTATTGGAGGTAACCCCATCGGGTATGCCGATAGTTCATTTATTTAATAAATCAGATTTGGAAAAGGTTTTAAAGTATCCCAGCAAATATCCGTTTAGACCGCCAACTGAAATTGTGGTCACCTATAGACGTTCTAAGCCCGATCGTTATGCCAGCGTAGGCATAGTTAATGAGTAAGTTTACAGTTAACTTATGTATTTAACGAAAATAACTGTTATGTATTAGGCAGGGCCCAATTTGGCAGAAGTTGCGTACATCTTTAACGGCCTCAATAACATCGCCCCGAGTCTTGCAAAACTTTCTACCTGCCCTCAATTGTGTGTGTGATGATTTTCTAGATTTACTTAGAAATCGTAGAGATCCTCGGACATTTGAGGTGAATAATTTTGAAGATATTGCAAACTTGTTGGGCCTGGAAGCTGTCTGTCTCTTAATGTTGGGCCGAAGAATGGGCTTTTTATCAACGAAATCGGAACAACCCGAAAAAATCAGACAATTAGCAGCAGCAGTTAAACAGCTATTTATCTCCCAGCGTGACTCCTATTACGGTCTTGGGCTTTGGAAGTACTTGCCAACGAAAACCTATCGAGAATTCGCGAAAGCTGAAGAAGTTATTTACGAGTAAGTTTTGAATTGTTTAACCTTAAGCGTTTTGTGTAATGTCCTCTCAGAAAGCAAAAAACCCCTTAAGAAATTTAGAAAATAACTTCTCAGTTCATAAACAGTGTGATCTCGGAAATGATGGAACAAACTTTGGCAACGAGTGAAGCTAACTACCATACAATGCATCATGACGACGAAGACCAAGATTTGCGCAGTATATTCCTCAACATTTTAGCATTAGAGGAATTGGATATACGAGATAAGAAATCGGCTATCATTGATTTCATAGCGGCAGGTATAGAGACGGTGAGTAAGAGAGAAATTAATTATATAAAGATACTCACCTATTCCATTGACCCGTTTGCAGTTGGCTCATACTCTGTTATTCGTTCTGAGTTCAGTGACCAGTGATAAGCAATCAATTGAGAAAATATTACAAGAATTTATAGACTACCGAGATAGCATTATCTTACAAGATGCGTTTACGCGAGCTACTTATACTAAAGCTTGTATACAAGAAGCATACCGCATTAGGCCAACTGCCTTCTGTTTGGCCAGAATATTGGAAGAAGACATGCAACTATCAGGTTATAATCTTAAAGCGGGGGTAATTGATTTACTTGATTCTCATTTTTATTAACTATATATAAATATATTAATTGGTGTTTTGCAGACAGTCGTCCTGTGCGAGAACATGCTAGCTTGCCAAAAGGATAACAATTTCCCAGCGGCTCTGAACTTCCAACCGGAACGCTGGATCGATAAAGATGGTAAATTCGGGGTAAATATTGAAAGTGCAAATCTGGTGGTACCTTTTGGCATAGGCAAACGCACTTGCCCTGGCAAACGATTCGTCGAAATGGAAATTGTTCTACTTTTAGCGAAGGTATAGCTAGAACAGCAATCACTCTGTTTATTATTTATAATGAAAAGCTTTTAAATAACGCTTTTGAATTTTGTTTCTCCTTAAAGTTGATTTTAGCTTTTGACATCAGTTTTGTCGAACCTTTAGAAACGGAGTTTGAATTTTTATTAGCGCCTAAAGCGCCTTTAAGTTTGATCATTCGTGATCGGGTATTTTAAAAAACCCACCAACAAAACCACCATCACCATCGCCAACACCACACTACTACTTACTACTTTACTACTAAAGATAAAAGTATTTCCTTTGTAAGCCATACCACTGCTATTCTAACCAACCGGAAAGAGTTGCCAAACTTCTCTGTGTCTATTGGATTTCTTTGGACAAGAAATATTATTGATTTAAATTAATTTAATGAATAATAACCACAACTTTAGCTTAAATTGCATAACTTTTTTTTATTTTTTTATTTTATTTTTTTTTTTTTATTACTTATTATTAATTATATATATATTCTTTATATATATATATATATATATATATATATATATATATATATATATGTATACGTTAAGTAGCTGCATTTTGTTTTGTGTGAAAGTAACGAAAGACTGTTTTATTTTTTGTTTAAATGTATATTATAAAGTAAAGCAAAAGAAACATAATATAAAACCAATAAGCAAAACATAAAGTTATTTATAAAACTCAACAAAATACAAATAATGAATAATTAAACAAACAAACAAACAAACAAACAACTGTCTGATACACAAATGTAAAGAAAATATTAAATTAAAGAAAAATAAAACAAAAACTTATTTTAAATGACCACAAAAAACTTGCTCGCAAAATATAAAGTTAAGAACAGCATGGCTACCTCAAGTTCCATGCACATGATGTGTTCGACAACCAACAAAACTTGGTCGGCTTGTCCGTTAAATCTCAGCCAACGCACAAATTGATGTTAAAGTTCTTCACGTAAATTCTCTTAATAAAAATCAATTATATATTAAACACAAAATAACTCCACATAGTAAAAAAATACATACGATTTTCATAATCAAAGCTTGAATGAACGGAATCGAGTAACGGTTCGCATTGCATCTAACAAACATGGTATTTTTTGTTTTTCAATCGTTATTATAAGTCCTATTATGGTTCATATACGGTACGTTCACGAATATTTAAAATGTCGGGACAAATTTCTTTCAAACTTTCACTTGTCGTAGACAAAGACACACAACCAAATAGCTAAGAACGTCATCTTGAGGAGCTTCGTTAAAAGTGCAGGCAGAGATGCCAAATTCAATTTTCTTGTCTTCGATTCATAGAATATTTTTTAAGAAGTAAAAGAAATCGAAAACACTTTTTAAAAGCGTTCAAAAGATATTTAAGCCGTTTCTACTGACAACGTTCATCTTAAGCAATAATAATGAAAATTTTTAAGTAAGTTGGACAACTTTTTAATGTTCACCGTTAATATCACAGAATGATGACCTTTTCAGAGTGCAGTTGTGCAGAGTGTATTATTGTTGTTTTATGCTTTTTTTTTTGTGTTGAAAATTGAACTTTAAAAGATTGTAATTTAAAGTAATAAAAATGTTCAACTCTACTAAGGGCGAGTCTTAAATATCGACTATTATCGCAAAGTTGCAATAATTTCCCATTTCAGTGGTATTTTTGCATCAAATTTTCACATCACGCCATCATATATGTATTAAATTTTGATTTTAATATCTGTTATAATTTGCAAATTATTTGCAAAAATATAATTTCAAATACCTCCTGCTTTTTTTTTTCTTCAACTTTTCAAGCATTGAAAGTGAGCTTACTGGAGCGAATTATCTTATTTGCATACTCTTGATGTAGTTATCCAACCGATTGAAGAACATGGACACCAGATTTAGATATTTAACAATTCACAACAAGTGGACGAACGAACAGAAGAATGAAGATAAATCGATTAGCAAATGTATGCACTTTGTAGGATTTCTGATTAGTAACGTTACAAAAGCTCTTTTTTAACTTTACAAAAGAGCCATAAGCTCTCTGTACGTCTACCCTTTAATTTTAATAAAGTGTCAATTCTGTAATTTTACTTTTACATAAAATTTTTATTTTGACTCATTAACATTAGCTATTATGAAGATCGCTGAGCAGCCGCTCAAAATACCAGCTGGTGCAACTATAAGATTTCAAATCCACACTTTACCACTAATGCGAACTTTGTCATAAACTTTCTAGAGCTTTTTGCACAACAGTGCTTCAGAATTTTGAAAATGAAACCCAGGAATTTTGAATCGATGTTGTTCGATCGAAAGTTGACATTTCAAAAAGACTTGAAATAGATGATGATTAAAGAAAGCCCTTGAATTTGCATGAATCCACAAAAAGCACAAGAGAAAAAACTAATTTCCCACGTACAGCGGGTACGTAAAAGGAAAGCTTGTTGAAGTGTAGTATAGTAAAGATTAAGAGTCTCTGGTTTATATATATATAGTATTAGAGAAGCTTTACTTCGGAAAGTGGAGCTTTCAGAAAAGCCCAATAACTCTAAAAACCCGAATTGGACAACACAAAAGAGCTTTTAAAGCTTTCATTTCTAATTGAAAACTTAGGAAACTTTCTCTCTTTTATAACTATTCTATTTAGGTTTTTAATTCTCTCTTATGTAAATAATTTTTAAAGTCCACGGCATTTACTTGATTTTGAACTTAGTGCGCTCTAACGATTGGAGGAAAAGTGACAGCAATATCAACTATGTGTGTTACAATCTATTTTTTCCTGTTATTCTATTTTGTTTATAAGAGAGGAACAAACAATAAGTATAAAGAGCAATATATAAATAGTCGCTTTTTCCTCTCAAAATTCAAAAGCGAGCCTAATAAGAACACATATAGCAAAGTAATTTTACTCTCAGAGGGGAGATATTTACTCTCAGCAGAATACGATTTGATGGTTAAAGAGCCCAGGCTTTCATTTGCTTTTTGAATTTGCTGAGAATAAAATGCAATTTCTGAGAATAAAATTTACTTTGTCGTATATCTATATTATATATATATATATATAAAATAATAATTACTTAAAATTATTATAATTTTTGAATTCATGGAGTGAACGCTGTAGCGCTTTTTTTAATAAAATTGATAAATTTTTGGCGACAAAACTATATAAACGGTCGCGCTTTTACGCTTGTATATATTTTTTAAATAAAATCAAAAAAAATAACATTTTGCCGCAGCAAATAATAATAGAAGTGACAGTGTGCGTTTTTTTTATTTTTTTAATTTATTGTTTACTTTAAGTAAAAAAAAACTTCATAATCCTGGCCGGAAGCATATATCAAGTATAGGAGCACAAAATAGGATTCTGTAAATTGATTGACTGTTAATAAATGCCAACTTAATTGCAAAAGAAACGTAAAATTATTGCAAACGTAAACTGCATCTTGTTTGGCAGGCGTGTTCGCTCGCCTCACTCGCCATTTTTGAAATTGTAAACTTTTTATGTTGAGTTTGAAAATTAACGGAAAAATATTTAACGATTATTAGAAAGAATTATATGAAAACTCTGAGAAACTATATTTAAAATTTGTGCAAAAAGTGAAATAATTTAAACAAAATAATTGGAAGCTAACTTCAAGCACCGTTGCCACCATTGTGCCACCAATCAATTAACAAATTTTAACATGTTTGTATAACAAAAAAAACGTATATATATATATATATATATATACTTTATTTTTATTTACATTTATACACATACTTTTAACCGTCACCTTAAATATATTTCAAACCGGTTTTATGTCTGATAGGAAAAATTCATCTTTTCTTTTGCGTGTTAAAGGAAAAGCTTGCAGGCATGTCAAATAGTAAAATAAAAAAATGGAAAAAAATAGCAAAGCAAAATAGAAATAAGTAGTAAGAAAGAGCAAAACAAAAAAGTGTAAATAAAACAAACAAGTTAAACAAAACAAACGTCTGTGCGGTTTTAGAAGCCTTGTTCATATAAACTAACTATTGAACGATTCTGTTTTTTTTTTTTTTTTTTTTTATTCCCTCCCATTTGTGCTTGCATAGTCGGTACCCCCCTGTTAGTTTTGTATATAATTAGAAAATAAAAAAAAAAAAATAAAAATTCAATATTAAATATAAATTGCTACCAGTTACTGTATGAATCACTTGAATATTTCATGACTTCATTCACTCCATTCTTCTATACGTTCTTCTCCCTTTTCTATAAACTAAGGTTGCAACCTGCATTCCGTGCATGCACTTGTCTCAATAAGAATTGTAACAAAATATTAACTAGAATAGCAACAACAATTTAGTTGCTTAGTTAGCCACGTAGTTAATGCTTAGTTAAATGCCTGGCTAATTGCCTTTATCTGAAGGTTGTCAGGTCAGACCCCTCTCAAGGTACCAACTTCTTATTTAGTTCAAGGCAATTACAACACATGCGACAGAGCCCAAGCACTCTAGAATAGAAAAATATTATTATTTAAGATTTTTTATTTTTATTAATTTGACAAAAATTCCACGAAAATTTTTATACATTTTTACATTTTTAATGTTTTCTTGTTTTTTTTTTTTTTTTTTTTTTTTTTTTCTCTTAAAGATAACTAAAACTTCTTACATAAAACGAAAGATCAATCTGCCCAAAACTTTGCAATGAGAACTCCGGGTTAGGAATATACATTTCGTTTAACATATAAACCATTTGCACTCTTACATGGCCTTTGTATATTAATCAAATCAAAAAAAAAAGATGCACACATATCTATTTTTAGTTATATATATGTATGAACCTTCAAGGATCAGTGATACGTACTTCTAAGTAGATCATCAAAATTCGTGTAACGTAGGCGTACCATTACTTTCCCTGATCTGGACAATAAAGTGCAATTTACGATATTTGCTTAAACTAAGACTTTGTTGCCAATTTTTTCCGATCTATATGAATCTGCGGCTGTAAAGCAACCTTGCTATCGTTATCGATATATTGAAAGCTGTCAACATTCACTTCAAGGCAGATATGAGTGCATTAGAAAACTATTAAAAATCCTTTCACATACGCCTTAGCGTCAAATGGAACTATTATAACAGGAATGAACATCAAAGAGCCTATAAAGTTTGCACGCTCTTGATTACAATAAACAGCGACGTCACAATTAGGCCAAGTCGGTCTGCCCATCTTTTAAAATCCCAATTATGATTTTCATAACTTGGCGTACAAAATTAAACTCGGTTTTTAATATTGGGATATAAGAATTTAATAATGAGAAAGCTGCCACGTTTTTGTACCGGAATATCCGCCAAATTTCTGGCATGATATTGGAAATGGAAATTTGCCTTCATCTTTTGCTGCAAAGCTCCCCATAGCAATGCAGTTGTGCTCAGGTCAGGCGGTGCTGCCAACATGCTACAACATGATATTATATTGCACAGTGTTCACGTTATATTGTCCATACCAACCCAGTCCAGTAACAGTAATATCTCAGTTAATTCGTGTAAGATCTTAGTGCGCATATGAGCATAAGCGGCATACATAAAATCAATATGTAAATGAATTTTGATGTGCTCTTCTTTATCATCTAATATACGCAAGCATATTCGGATTCCTATGCGTTGCAAAAGAAAAATGGGCACCGTTAATATATTCCAATCAAGATTATGAATATAATATGATACAATGTCTTCTTTATCCATTTGGCCACTCCTTTCTGGCATTCCTTTACTATATCCATTGACTCTATTGTTAAATAAAATTTGAAAGCAAGGAATTATTATAATATTCGGGATCATTATTAAGCATATGCAACGGAAACATGATAGACTCTGTTTAACAACAACGCAGTTAAATTATGCATAGGCATTAAATGTATTGCTCACCGTCAATATAATAATAAACGTATAGTAAACGTTCAAAATTCAACTAACGATGCATACTCTGACAGACGTAACTAACTTTGCGTTAAAAGAGCGTATAGTATAATTAGCAGTTGAAAGCCAAGATGTACATTAAAGTCAGAGACCCACATGCATTCAGAGTGTATTCAACTCAGAAAGCGCACATTAAGCGTCATCTTAAATTGTCATAGGCACATGAATATGTATTTACATACATACATACATACATACATACATACTGACAGACACTCATATATTCATATTTAAATCTATACGCATAACGAAAGTCGTTTTATTGTCATACATTTTACGACATAACACACATACACAAACGCATATTATTAGTACTTTTAGTATTATCGTTAATTGCATAACTCCATGCTCTTGTCTGTTCAAAAGAATTTTTCAGTACAGCAGTAAATACCGATCGACTTTTTTAAGTTTCCAATTACATGCATTTTCTAAGAGAATTGTGCGGCAAAAGGGGCACCGAAAACAGAAAAACGAAACAATACGTTTCTCTCTGGCTGCACACTATCGTCTGTTGTTGCGGCCTCACCCATCAATGCGACACTGACTCTGAATTTTTCCAAAAATTCAGAGAAATTTCGCCTTTTTTTATTTAGAAGAAAGAAAACAAACAAAAAAAGAAAAAAAACAAATCTGCCTGATTTTAGATTATGTCGATGCATCTTCAGATGATCCATCAACGAAAGCATATATATCATATGCAATTGCCACAAGATCCCGCTCCAATATCGCTTAAGCCTTGGTAGTCCAAGACATATTCAGTTTAATTATCCCTATCTCAATATCTATATACATATATGAATGTAAACTAAACGAGTGAAACAATAGTCAGTTTATATTTACTTTTAATTCTATTTGCTTCGTCTAACATGTTTTCCGATTTAGCTTAACGATAGCGAACGCGTGAAACTTAACACTCAGCCCGATTCGTCATCACAAAAATGTAGCGAGTTGGTATGGCTTGTCTCGTTAAACTGATCTGTGACTTCTGAAACTCTAAGAGTTAGAATAGCTTCTTAAGCTCCAATTACAAGTCTTTTAAGAGGCCTCGATGTTAGTTGTCTACAATGGCAGTTTTCACCGTTAACCTATGACGTATTTTCATCACATTTATTAAATGCTAAGCTTTCTATGGACTTCTGTCCGTATTGATTGAAATTCTTGCTGTGCTACTGAGTATATTAGTTTCCTTAAAATCCCCCGTACAAACCGATCGTGTGTACTTTGCTTTGATTAAAATTTGAAAATCTAAAGTGAGTTCTTCTATTAAGAGAATTCATAAGCGAAATGAAATTACAAAGGTTTCAACTTTCTTTCTTTGCCTTGCACGTCTAAAGAATTTCTTCGCAAAATGATTACAAAAATCTATTAAATATCTATTCACAATGACCTTCTTTAACTGGCAAAGTATTGAATAAATTTTATGTAGAATTCATGTCCACTTGCATGATAATGACTATAAAACGTACTGCACGATCACTTGCATAGAATTAATTTGGAAATTTTCATACATTATACGACTAATGAGGAGAACACGTACTTTTGTTTGCTTTTGAAAAGAGAGATGCTACCAAATTTATATTGTACTGGGTGTTGCAAATGTTTTAATAAGATGACAATGTATTCCCATTTTTCGACGGTCGGTATAAAAAGATAAGAAGCACCTGAGACCAGCCATTTGTCAAACGAACAATGCATTCAATAAGTGCTAGGAAAAGAAACGAATATGATTAACGAACGAAGAAAACTCAACACACATTTGGACAGTTAGTAATATAAAGTAACAAATCCGTTGATCGACGGGCTGTTGCTTACATAATGTGCGGAGAACTATCGGAAAAGAGGACTCGGAGGATTGTTAATACTTATTTATAATGAAATGTAAATGTGTATGTAAATGTAAATGTAAATGTAATATATTGTTGTTCACATTCATACATTTTTGATGCGAAGGGAGGATACAAGTTTGGTTGGTTTGATGATTTAGACGAGGATTAAGCGGGACACCAGTGACTATTCTCACTTTATGTATTTTGTCGCGGACGTTATAACGTTCCCTTACTTCAACGTCAGCATTAGACAGTACATCAATTTTCTATAATTAATTTGTATTTTTTGTTTGTCTTTAGAAGAAATCGAAACTGGCCGTTGCTGCGAACAGGATGGCGAAACTAGACGAAATTAAACGCTCAGTTTTAAAAATATTTGCTTTACTTTTTTACGAAAACAAATCTTCTTTTTTTTCTTCAAACAATTGATGCAACGATATGACGTTATTTTTACACTATAATTACATGCCAAGTAGTCTTGATCGACATGAAATTCTGAGTTAATTCAATCGACTTTGATTCTATATTTCAAAGATCGGAAATTTCTTTAAAAAAGAGAAAATTTTAGTATCATTTGTAAACCTGATTGAGGTTGAACGCAATTATTTATCGTGACTCTATAAAAATTCGATGAGATGTGTTTCCATCGATGCCATGTTCTGAGCTAAACTGATGAACTAAACCATATTTATTGTGACAGATTTCAAAAAATATTCATAAATAGGATCTTTTGGAACAACAATTCACATAACGTATGAAGAAAATTTTGAAGCTGCAAGAATAGGACGTACAAGTGCAACGATGGAGGAAAATATTAGAAGTTTAACCGAGAGAGAGAGAGAGAGAGAGAGAGCTTTTGGTGATTATTCAAACTATTAATTAAACAGATTTTTCAACGACTCGATCAGGACTTTTTGACCAC